TGCAGAATATGACAGTTTAATGGTGGAGGTATACACATATTGATAGATGTCTTGTAATGCACTGTTGAGGAACCTGCGACCCAAGTTTTTCATTCATTGCATAACTACACCGGGATGGTTTCACTGAGGATTATGTCTTCGGCCATCCTAAACTCCCCAAAAAATATTTGTTACTCCGAATCGAAGGGGAAAAACACAAAAGCATTGTACAAAATTTAAACCAATCAATGTTTTGTAATTAACAAGGATAAACTGATGTTTTTAGTTCATGAGTACTGCAGATTACTCTGAAAACTTCGAGACCGGAAATAATGTTTTCACCGCGAACTGTTGCCTGGCAACGCAATTATGTTGATAGTTGAGGCTGATAACTTATTTTGAAATTCAGTTCCTGGCAGACGGCAAAAAAGCCTGAGATTATAGAATTAAACAAATAAATAAAAACAAGGATAATTGTGTGTTATTGGTGAGTAAATAACAGTGTGTTATTTAGAAAATAATAACAAATTAGAAGGAAAAAAAGATTGAAAAAATACAGATTTCAGTATTCTGATGTTCTGAGCCCCATTTATTTTCCTCACGGACGGCAAAGAAAGTCAGACATTATACGATTTAAAATAAAAACAATAATCGTGGCTTGATATTGTGTAAGAACATGTTTTAATGAACCCCACAGCTTCCGGTCTTCCAAGACAAAAAGACGTGGTGCAGGCACGAAACACACTAGAAATACATTTCTTGGAAAATCGTGTTGGTGAACACGAATCAATAGATTACATTTCGTGACTATAACACGAAATGCCGTGAGACTGGGTTGCACATTCACCTTCTCTGATCTTTGTTATTCTGCTCAATATTCAACCATTATCAAAAACAGAACAACATAATTAAAATGTATTTGTTCTCGGGAAAATTCTACGAATTATAAGTACTGGAAAAATATATATAATTACCATAATTATATTATTATATCGAGTTATTGAACTGACCTGAGAGTCTCCAGTCTGCAGTTTGGACTCTTTAGTCCAGAACTCAGCAGCTCCACTTCTGAATCCTGCAGATCGTTGTCACTCAGGTCCAGATCTCTCAGATGGGAGGGGTCAGACTTCAGAGCTGAGGCCACGACTTCACATTCAGTCTCTGAGAGTCCACAGCCAGAAAGCCTGTCACACAAATATTACTAAAAGAGTTAGCATAAAAGAGAGGAAACATTATATTAACTTCATGAATTTGATGAAACAAGTTAATGTTCTCAGTAACATTCACTGTGAGTCAACTTAATATAATAATAGAGTTTTCTATATTCGTTGTCAGCCTGTCAGAACTTATTTTAAACTCTTAAAAACAGATGTTGAACAAACTGAATGATCTATGAATTACTGATTTCACTGATCACTGTGAAATACTGCTGTATGTTGTGATCACATGCTGCTCTGAGAAAAACTCTGAAGTCCTTAATTTGTTGGACAAGGAATATGAAATGAACTAAAACTATAAAAGGGAATAATCAATATAATAAATAGAATCACTGAGATTTGAAGAACTAAACTTCTGATCTAGTTTATAAAGCTAATCACATCTGGACTTACTTGCCTTCCTGCAGTTCCTCACAGCTGGAATCAGTCTCCGTCGTCCCTCCTCTGATGTGTTGTACTGATCCAGGTCCAACTCATCCAGAACCTCCTCTGACATCTGCAGCATGTAGGCCAGAGCAGAGCAGTGGATCACAGAGAGTTCCTTCTCTGATCTGTTCTCTGACTTCAGGAACTCTGTGATCTCCTGATGTACTGAGATGTCCTTCATCTCTGTCAGACAGTGGAAGATGTTGATGCTCCTGTCAGGAGAGATTTCATCACTGCTCATCTTCTTCAGGTTGCTGATGGCTGTTTGGAGGATTTCTGGACTGTTGTCTGTGCGACCCAGCAGGCCTCCTAACAGTCTCTGGTTGGACTCCAGAGAGAGGCCGTGGAGAAAGCGGACAAACAGGTCCAGGTGGCCATTTTCACTTCTGAGGGATTTCTCCATGGTGCTCTTGAGGAAGGCATCAAGGGATGGGAACTCCCGATCACTGTTATCACTGTTCTCATAGTGCCAGACTCCCTGCAGGAAGTTCTTCACTACCTCTGTGTCTCTGTTGGTGTAACAGTGGAACATGTAGACTGCAGCCAGAAACTCCTGAATGCTCAGATGAACAAAGCAGTAGACTGTTTTCTGGAAGATCACACTCTCTCTTTTGAAGATCTGTGTACAAACTCCTGAGTGCACCAAGGCCTCGGTGACATCAAGGCCACAGCGCTGCAGGTCTTCTTGGTAGAACATGATGTCTCCTTTCTTCAGATGTTCAAACGCCAGCCTCCCCAGCTTCAGAAGAAGCTCCCTGTCAGCCTCCGTCAGCTGCTGTGGACTCGTCTCATGTCCCTCTTCATACTTCTGCTTCTTCCTCTGTGTCTGGACCAGCAGGAAGTGTGAGTACATGTCAGTGAGGGTCTGGGGCAGCTCTCTTCTCTGGTCTGTAGTCAACATGTGGTCCAGAACTGCAGCAGTGATCCAGCAGAAGACTGGGATCAGACACATGATGTGGAGGCTCCTGGAGCTCTTGATGTG